ATTTTTTGGTTCTGAAATGGCAGTTTGCAGGGACAAGGCAGCCCTGTCTCAGCAGTATTATCGTTTGGGAACAGAAAGAACGCAGGCTGTGCTGGCTTCAGAGTGCAACGCATGAGCCCGACCTTGTTTCTTGCTAAGAAATGTCTCTTTTTTGCCTGTCCCTGGCAGAAGGGAAGCTGGGAGATCACAGCAAATGGCTGCAACAACCTGTGTTTAATGTGGTGACACTAATGAATTCCGAAAATTAATCTTCAGCCAAGAAAGTATGATGGAAGGTACTAGAATTTCAAATTAGGTAATGGATTGATTTCCTTCAAGACTTGGAATTTGCTTCCTTTTCCTTCTGGTGGACTTTTCTATCCTATTCAAACCACTCATGATGGCCTTATAAATCCAGGAAATACATCTCATGGTAGTTTTACATTTTTCATTTTCTTGCTTTGTTCTATCTCTTGGCACAGAGAGAACTACACCTAAATCCAGGTTTTTAAAAATGATTAAAAACCTTCTGGGAGTGAAAGAATTACTTATGACTTTGGAAGAAAGTAGTATCCCTAAATCTAGTCCTTATTTAGTTTTTTTCCAGGTTTAAGGACTCTGGGAAGAACTGAACTTGGGGAATGTATTTCCTCAGCTTGAGACACTGACTTCTACAGAAACAGCAGCCTACAGGTGTCTCAAATGTGTTGTTGACAATCAGGGGCTTTGTGTGTCTCCCTCAGTCAGCTGGGATGAGGACTCTGCCACCCATTGTGAGGGCCTAGTACTGATTTCTCACAACAGCCTTTCCAAGGATGTCATTTGCAGGGCTCTGGTTTCACTGACACAAAAAAAGAGTTTAGAAAGATCAAGCTGTTTTCTTTACCCCAGAAGTTCTAAGAATATTTATTTTATATATTTTATAAATATAATATAAAATGTATATAAAACATATTTTTATATTATGTTTATATGTTTAATAATATATATAAATTCTATATATATTCTAATATATTCTATATATTCTATATATTTAATAATATATAAACATAATATATTTAATAATATATATACTTATATATATATATTATTATTATAAAACTCCAGACTTACTTGGTTAGACAGTCACCAATGTTTCCCAAACCTTTTTGACCAGAACACTAGTTTCATTTTTCAGTGGAATGTGTTACGTGTCTAGTGTTTATCCCAACTCACCTCATGCTGGCTGGGCCCTCTTTCCCATCCAGAGGTCAACATTCTATGCATTCCCTTATAAAAACTGCTCAATCCCTGGCTGGGAGAAAATATCCTGCATCTGGAATTTGCAGTTCCTGGTTTAAAAAGCAATCCTGAAATGAATAGCATATTATAACTCCTTAGTTTTCAATGTTTGTTCTTCCAAGTCAGGTTGGAGGATTCTATCATGTTTTCATAAAGGACATGGAGGCTGTCAGGTGTTCTTATAGACCCTAGCAGTCCATTCTATCTTAATCCACTAAATCCCTGCCTGGAAGGAGAATAAGACAGAAATGACAAGCTGATAAATGTAAACAGTATGAGTTTGGAGTCTTAAGCAATAAAGAATATACCCTAGTTAAAGTTGGAAAAGGGACTAAAGCAAAGAATTATTGTTAGGCTTTCAAGGGAGGCAGCCTAGGGGGCACAGGTGAATGTTCTGGTGGCCTTCTGAGTTCCTGGCTACACAGCTTGCCCAGTCTGGCTTCTTGCTTTGCGCATCCAGTTTCCCAGCTTTGAAATGTCTTCTACCTCTTCCCCACCGAGTTCAGTTTAGTCCCAAAACATCCTCTCAAGCCTGCCTCACTTCTCATTTCCCCCACTAAGGCTTCTCTGACTGAAGCTCCCTCTCAAACCTGCCTCACTTCTCACCTCCCCCACTAAGGCTTCCCTGACTGAAGCTCCCTACCCAACCTACTGCAGAGGAGGAAGGGTTCTCCCATAGGAGTCAGAGAATTGGCCTCATCTCTGTCAGGACTTGACCTGAACTTACTCATCTCATAAAAAGGGAGGTTAGAATAGAAAATTTCAGTCCTTTAGCTCCAAAACCCTATGTTTTTGTTTGATTATTTCTTATTCTGAATATAGAAGCAAACACTGGCTTTTGCTGTTTCCTGTGTTCCTCTTGTCCTTCCATCTTTCCAATTAGATTGTAGATCCTCAAGGAAAATGGTCTTGATTCTTTATGAATTAATTTATTTTGACTAATTCTGGCTGTATAATAAATGTTTGCTGAGCAAATGAAATGATCTGATTCCAATGACCTGTAGTCTAGTAATGCATGACTTTCAGCCATATCTGTTACTAAGGTAGTACTGTCCTCTATCAGTAGAATAGTAATTCCATTTCAGTCTGGCTGTTTGCTCCCCATGAGAAAAAAGTATGCAGAAGTGTTTTAGAATAAGGCTATACCCTCAAGGTCTTTATGACCTTCTCCTAAAAATCTTCCAGTGCAGCTGGATATGTCACAACTCTGTTTAGCATTCTTCCCATATATACTCATTTTCAGTTTTGCTGATCCAATGATATGACATTCAGGTCTCAGGTCTTCCTGGGAGAACTAACAAATCCTTTTGATCATTGCTTCCACAGAGTGGAATACCTACCATCTTCATTTTGGAGATCTTCAAGAGACAACAGATTCACTCGTTAGTTTCTTCCTTGTCTGATTATCTCACTTCATGATTTAGTAGCCATTTCTTACTCCCTCTGTGACATAGAGTGACCCTCTCTTGAAAATACCAAATGACCTGGCAACCTTGTTGGTAGCCTTTCTCCCCCACTGGATGCTGAAATTATGCAACAAGATATAACACCTTTAATTACATACCCAGACTCCAGTAGAGACCTGTTTTCGTAAAACTAGAGTATGTGTTTCTTGGCCTCTGTCAGACCCTATCCAAAGAGCTTTAATTATCGAAGTACCAGAAGGATCTTATTTCTAGGCCTCATCTGGAACACCGTCCCAAGGCCTCTATCCTGTGGAGGAAAGTAGAGGCAGTTTCATCTCAATTTCTCATTCACATGCTATGAATTTTCTATTAATGGATGTGGCTCTCACCTTCAGTCTCAGCCCTGAGTTTACTCATTTGATGTGCTGGCACTAGACAGCAGGCAGTTGGGGGTTGCCCTAATACTTTTGCTCAATGCAGGAAAGATGTAGTGTGACCTGCCCCAGATCACTGGGCAAGCTTGATTCCTGGACTCCCATCCTACGCATGCCCTCTGGGGCTGGGGGCGGGAGGGGGAGTGCGGGGCTGTGGTGTGTGAAGCCACCATGTGCATCTGCAATAGGAACTCTCAGAGGACACAGACTGTTTGCATTTTAGGAGTTTTTGTATACCATCCCTCAAGCCAGGAGGACGGGGCCACTACACCTTTACTATTCACCGTAAACTATCAGGAGGTTCCTTATTCTCCTGGTGCTTAGGGAAGCCACATTTATTTTCCTTTGGTAGTCACATATACAGATGAATATACATGGAATCTAGGGAAGACTGCTAATATAGACGTGAACATAGTATTTTTTAAGAATGTGCACTGACTTATTTTTGGTAGGAAAAATAATAGATTATACAAAAGTCCCCTGAACCCATAAAAGTCAAATGATTGATTTCTTCCCAAGGCAAGGCAGAGGTGGTATTTATAGTCGTGCAGGCAGCAGAATGGAGATAATCTAGGTTCTTTTGGCTTTTCTGACTGAAAGCTCCAGTTCCAATAGATAGGAAATCCCTTGCATCATTCTAAAACTGACTGACTGGAAAATTTACTGAATATCTTTTCAGGACGAGGAGGTGAGGGATGTGGAAGTGGTTTGAAATGTAAACTGCAAAGGTTAAAGTCATTTTGTTAAGTCCAGCAGTTAAGGATTGTTTTAAGAACTCTGCATAAATGTTTAAAAAAATGTTCAAGGTGAGGCTGATTTTTTTTTTTTAACCATTTTGTGAGTGTATTTCATTATTTAAAATATGTTGTGTCTTAGATGTTGCTGGCATGTCACTCTTGGGAAAACTGGAAATGTTTGTTTCACAGAGTGGGCAGAATGGCATTTAGCATTTATCCTAAGCCTCCAAAGTGAGCTAAAGACTGATAGCTTAAAAGGGCAGTTGTTAAAATTTCTTTCTCCTATCAGGGGCAGCTACTCAGAATGGAAATGCAGTGGTAATTGGAGGGGTATTCATCAGATTCAATTTCACTAGAAATTTCCTTGTATCAAAGTCATCTTGGATAACATAGGGCATACAGCAAAATGTACTAAATCATTGTTTCCTTCGAAAAGGGCATTTGAATCTGAAACAGAAAGTGGTTACACCAGTGGTTTTTAACCAATTAACCACAGAGGAGTTTAAATGCAACCCAATTTTTACCATTTTCAATGGGCTTTTTGTTCCCTGTTTGCTTAATTCCATTCCAGTTCATCTGAATTATATTGTAGTCACTTCCTGTTCTGAGGTTTTTCTACTTCAGAAAAACATTAGAAATCAAGGTGTTGGAGTTTCTCTGTGAAGGTTTCTTTATGATTAGTTTCTTTCCTTGCAAGCTCCTGAATGCATTTTCCCTACCATCAAATGGTGGACATTTCATATGTTAGGATTTTATTTGAGTGACAGTATATAATTTTATATGTTTCTAAGATATATGGACTAATCAATTTGACTCCATTGCAAACATTTTTCTGTAGTGAAAGTTCAGACAGAAAATTCAGTCTGATCAGTCTATTTCTTCAGTGTTTTGAATACTTCCCATTCAGTTGATGGCAAAAATTTACTGTTTTCAACATGTACTTAACCCAAACTAAAATAGACTTCTGATGTACTGATTAATTCGACCAGCAGAGAATTACTATTTTTTTTACCCTCTGGTACATATGAATAAAGAAAGAGCTGTGTAAGGTTAGTGATCAGGTTTTATAAATGAACTTCTTTTTGCCTCCTCTCTCTCATATTCACAGGGGAACCAGGTATCTAAGATTGTACTTTGGATTGTTTGTTGATTTTTGCAAACAGGTGTCTTATTAAGGATTTTGAAAAGCGGCCTTCTGTCACACATCTCCTTGACCACCCATTTATTAAAGGAGCCCACGGGAAGGCTTTATTTCTGCAAAAACAGCTGGCCAAGGTCCTCCAAGACCAGAAGCATCTAAACCCTGTTGTTAAAACCAGGTATGGTACACAGCATCTTCCTACTTCCTCTCTCTGGTTATTTATAAAAATGGCATGTCATGTGTTTTGATTTCCCCAGCATTAGTACTGGTAATTATCATATCCCTGCATTTTTGAGAGTTTCATTTACATGACATTAAGTACTCCATACTCATGGATGAGATCAGGAGAGCTTTAGAAATAAGCTGTCCATTTGTGCTCTAATGGCTGATCTCTCTAAACTGTGGCTGAAATCCCACTCTGCCCTCATGTTCTGGTTAAAAACCAACACACACATATATTTATATTTAATATAAATATGAATTTTTTTAAAACCAATAAAGGTAGCTGTATGAAAACAGCCATGGCTGAGATCTCGTGAGAAATCTTTACTTGGCCGTTGCTGATAGCTGTAAAGTGAGTTTGGAAAGATTACAAGTTAAACACTGGAGGATTTTTCACGAATGTGCTCTGAGACCCTATTCTTTAGTTAAAAATTCCCTAGAGGCAATTTAGTATTTTTAAATGATTTTTTTTCCTCCACAGGCGATGTCTGTGCTATCCAAAACAACTGTGATTCTCCTTCCCTGCCCCATTTTTCTAAAGGGTAGATTTTAAGAAATAAACGTTTATTTTCAGGGGCAGTTGCTTAAAATGGTATTCTGTGGTGGTCTCTAAGAAATAGATCTTTGGTTTCTGTCCAGAGGGTGGCAGAATTTCTCTTTAAATTTTTTTTAAATGCAAATAAACCTGCTTCCCAGCTCAGCAATTATTTGGTTTTATAAAACTGGCCAGGATGCAGATAAGCTCTAATCCATTATTATTAAAGGAACATTCGAAGGACTGGAGGTGAAGAAAATAAAATATCACTAGTCACAAGTTCTGGAAATATTCATGTCTTCTGCAGAACACTGTTTACAAATCAAAAAAGCATGGGAACTCTTGCAGCTGGCGGCATAGTTTCAAGGTGACTGTATCTTGCTGATTTTCCCTACCACCACCAAGTTCCCTTTTGGATAGCTCAAAACAAATTTTTTCCTGTTCTTTCCCCCTTTTGACTGTCATTTGTGTTTCTATGGCTTGCCCATAGGGTAGAGAAATTCTTGTGACTTGGTACGTTTTTGAAGCAGTAGGAACTTGTGTTTAAGCCCCAAGGAACTAAAATCCCTTTTCTTCCCATTTTTGTTCCTGTAGACCAGCCTCTGCCCCCAAACCACTCACCTCCCCAGCTCCCCCTCCCGCCCCCAGCACACACAGCACCAGCACCAGAAAGGAGGATGAAATCAAATCAAACAGACCAAGCGAAAAAACAAACCCAGCATTTAAATGCTCTAAGTTGAATCGGTCTTCTCCTTTTCTCTATGTTCTGAAATCTGCTGCAGAACAATTTCTAAGACTTAGGTTGCAAAGTTATGCAGCTTTTCACATTTGCCTGACTTTGCCTGTCCAGATGTATATTCTCTTTTTAAAGATATTCCTTCTTTTAGCATAAAAAAATCAGACTCCAGTCTCTCTCACCCACTTTCTTTCATTTCTCATTATCTTTTTAACTTCTTTGCTATCGAAAGCCATATATGGTGGCAAAGGCTTCTTACAGGGTCTTTGTAATCTTCAGGTTCACTCAGGAGTTTGTGTTTCTTTGAAAGTCATTAAACATACACACACACACACACACACACACACACAACCAACAGCACCTGACTGGCTCAGTAAGTAGAGCATGTGACCCTTGATCTCAGGGTCATGAGTTCGAGACTACGTTGGCTGTAGAGATTACTTTATAAATAAATAAACTTTAAAAACCCCGCAACCTCACAAATAAGAATCAAAACTTTAAACAACCCTCTCCTTAAAAGGCAGGAAAATTAATTCTAAAGGGAACACGATGACTGTAATGGACACTTAACCGGCCCCCTGCCTCGTAGCAGCGGGCAAGGGGTTGGCTACACAGGTGTTTTTAAGCCCACCCAGGAAAACTCGCAAATACCATTTCATGCCGGTGACTCCATATATCTAAGGTTGTGCGTTTACAAGATAAGGTGGGGAAACGAAAGAAGACTTGAGGCAAGTAAGAGATGAGTGAGGCAGATGCCCCACCTACCACTTTTCTGTACAGTTACGGCCGCCCAGCAGGCAGCGCAGTGTGGCGGTTGAAGCCACTGGCGCTGCCAGGGTTAAATCCCAGCTCAGCCCCTCGGGGACAGGTTGTTACATTGGTCTGTTCAGAGGTTTCCTCCTCTATAACATGGGGGTTCTTCTGAGGGCCAAGTGAGTCCATACATAAAAAATAAGTAGACTAGGGTGGGAGGATGGGTCAGCCTGGTGATGGGTACTAAAGAGGGCACATACTGCATGGAGCACTGGGTGCTATACGCAAACAATGAATCATGGAACACTGCATCAAAAACTAATGATGTAATGTATGGTGATTAACATAACATAATAATAATAAAAAATAAAATAAAATGACAAAAAAAATAACTAGACTAGCTCTTGATAGAGTTAACCCTCACAGTGTTAGCGGTGGTAGAAGTAGTATACGGGGGTCTATTTAATTCAGAGTCCTTCATTTCTGTTTAATACTACCTACCTCTCGGCCTTAATTAGTATAAATTCATCTCTGTTTATCATATAACATCATGAAAATAAACAGTACTGGGCTACTGAATGTTAAAAATATCAATTTCTATCTCATTTAAAATATAATTTATTCATTTATTTGTTCAAGAGACGTTTATATGTGTGCATGTGTCAGGCCCTCTGCTGAACAGAGGGACTACAAAGGCAAATCAGATACAGTTCCTGATAAAGAGCTAAGAGTCCAGTGTGTGAAACAGACAAGAATCACATGGGAACAGTTCAACATGAAAAGTACCTGGATAAAGGGATGCTGGGGTAACTCCTGGGACACCTGGGAAGAAAAGACCCTTGGAACTGGTGGGAGGTTGATCCTTGAGGGATCCTGAAGAACAAATAGAAGAGTTGAGGAAGGAGATTATTCTAGGTAGAGGGGAATAATGAGCAGTGAGCCAAGGGGAAAGGCACGGAGGCTGGAGAGAGCTTAAGGAATTTGGTGAACACTTCGTTGGCATTGCTGGAGCTTGGCATGGAACAGGGGAAGGGAGAAACAAGGCAGACAGGGGCCAGATCATGATGGGCTATGGAGCTTGGATTTGTCTCAGGCACTCAAAAGCCACTGAAGGTTTTTAAGCAGGCGTGTGCTCTGGGAAGGTCATGCTGATTGCAGTGTAGAGAATGGATTGAAGCTGGGCAAGGCAGGTGCCAGGGAGACAACGGAGCAGATTGTGGCAGTTGCAAATAACAGAAGATATTGAGGACTTAGTGGTGGATTGGATGAGAGAGATCAGGGAGAGAGAGAGAGAGAGAAGTGTTACCCCAATTGGGCTGCCTCTCTGCCATGGTTAAGACTACAATCAAACAGGGCGCCTGGGTGTCTCAGTTGGTTAAGCAACTGCCTTCGGCTCAGGTCATGATCCTGGAGTCCCGGGATCGAGTCCCTGGATCGAGTCCCGCATCGGGCTCCCTGCTCGGCAGGGAGTCTGCTTCTCCCTCTGACCCTCCTCCCTCTCACTCCCTCTCATGCTCTCTGTCTCTCGTTCTCTCTCTCACAAATAAATAAAATCTTAAAAAAAAAAAAAACTACAATCAAACAAATTGTAAAGACACTAAGAGACAGAGATCAGTAAAGAGATTTTGCTTCCTCTTCCTAACCTACCAAATGCAATGTCAAGTACTTCCAGATATTACACAAAGTTTCCAGCTTTCTGTAAGCATTCTGCAGTGTTCCAGACAGCCCTAGGTCCCCCAGCTGGAGGGACTTGTTTAGTTTTGAGAACTAAATACAGAGAAATGAGACCTACAGACTACAGGAAAAACTGTCGTACTGTTCCTGCAAAGGCAGGGAATGTTCTGTCAAGTTTAGTATTTTCTCCATGGGAGACAGAAGTTAATGGTTTGAGGGGAAGAAAGTAGGTTCTTAAAGGATGGGGCAAACTTGGACAGGTGAAGGGGAGGATCTTATATAGACGAAGCAAGAGGAAGTGGGAACAAGGGCCTAAGAGGAGGGTTGACCTTAGGAAGACCCTCTAGGTTGGGAAAGACACAGAAAGGTTAGATGAAGATATCCAGAAAATTTGAGGAGTGAGAGTGGGGGTAGGGAGAGGGGGTCCTATGAGGCAGCTCGTGGTGAATGGCCTTTATCTTTCAAAAAAAATTAAGCAAGGTGGTCTCAAAGTTAGGAGTGGGCTGTGGACACCAGGAAAATGTTAACTCTTTGAAATAGCCACAAGGAGGAATATTATAAAGGGTCCACTAAAGATGGACATGATTGCTCAATAGCACAGAAAACCCAAGAGGAACTTAATTGAATAGCATTCCATTGTAGTGAAGTTAATCACTGTTTAAGATAATGCATGTAGAACATTCAGGAGAGCATTCCGCACCAGAACCTCTCAAAAAATGTACCATCACTACCATTGCCTTTCCTATCTATTATCTCTAGCAATTCTTAGCAACAAGAGGTAGGAGTAGAGAAAGCAGATACTCTGGTCTTCAGACTGGAGACTAGCTTGACAGACATGATGGGTGGACAAGGGGGCAGAGGAATAAAGATGAGTAGGAGAGTATCCTTCGGATCTTTTTGGGATTTGGAAGAAAGTGAAGCCAGAAGTGGCTTTCTAACTTTTGAGGCCTGGTCTAGGTCAAAGACTGGTAGTTGCAATGCAGATAAAGAGCAGATTCCATGAGTGGATGATGAGACAGGAATTGTAGAACTGAGATCTTGGGAACTTTTGAGAAATAACTGGGAGCTAGTCATGTCTGAACTTGTGGACAAATTCAGTGGAGCTAGAAATCAAAGTTGTTAGAGAGTTGACAAGTTGACGCACCGTGAGATCAGCATGTGGGAAGAATTAACAAAGTGATTGGTGGGGGGTGGGGAAACCTAAGACTGACACCAGGGGAATGGACAGAGAGAAAGGAAAATGGGGCTCAAGTGCTGG